TGTCTCGTTTGTCTCTATGTGTGGCCCTGTGATGGACTTGCGACCTGTCCAGGGTGTACCCTGCCCCTCGCACTGTGACTGCTGGATAAGGGCACCAGTGACCCACGCAACCCTGAAAAGGAAGAAGGGTGTACAGAAATGCATTCAATTTCAAATTATGCACATACAGATTCAATCTGAGYGATTCAAATTCAGTTCCTGCTGGCACAGGATTTACCTGATTCGTTTTTTAACTTGCCACTTGCTCTTTTTTAATATTACTTTTTTGTCTTAATTTTAACAATACAGTTCTGAAAATCCATCCTACATCAAAACAAAGATTCACAATTAAACTGATGAATGGCCTGTTGGCATATAAATTTAATACAACCACTTATTACCACTAGATGGCACTATTAACAAAGAATATATTTGCATTGATTTAATTATCTCAATTAGTTTAGTCCAGGGCATATGAAACAAAGATTTCAGATAAAGTTGAAGCAAGCTTGTTGATGAAGGTGCCAGCACAAAGACCATGTTTATTCATATTCTGAATAGCTGCACATACAAAACTTACGGCTAAATAAGTAATAGGCAAATCTTAGGAAAGCAGACAAAGTAGCAGGTAAAAGTGGAACAATAATGCACATTCAGCAACAAATGTATAACCTAATTTTTTCAGTACACTTTTTATCTTGTGGCACACATAAAACATTTTATTTTAATATTAAATAATGCCCCTTCTTCTTCGTTTTTTTGTTAAAAAATCTTGTGATTTTTCTGAAAAGTAAATCAAATTCAAATAATAAAAATGTCACAATATAAAACAAACAAAACTAAATAAATTATTGACCGGGCTATAATGCACAAGTTTAAGCCCTCCTACTAGCAGTGGCATTTGTAAACACATTATATATTATTAAAATACAAAAGAACATTTTAACTTCATTAAMTTATAATTCAAAATGCAGCCTAAGACTAAGAAACATTTAGTTTCCACCTCAAATCATTAGAGATACCCGACAGACTCAGCAGGACTCTGTTTTTGGTCAACAAAAACTTTATAAATGACCTATTTTGGTTTGCTTTAAAATAAGAAATACATGCAAAAATCTTAAAAACTCTTCTGAAACAAAAAATCAATAGAAGTGTAATTCCCCTTCACACCACCAGGGTTCACTGTTGCTGTAGAGAGACAGACCCTTTCTCTGCAGTGTAAACAGACTTCGCGTAAACAGGATTTTATTCTGCAGGGTTTTTTTTTCTTCCTCTTGACCTCAACATTTTACATTTATCGGCACGAAAAATGTTTTTAAATCAGCGGTTCTCTGCAGCTCAYGAAGCACCTCACTCATGAACTCTGTGGCTCTGCAGAGGAAACATGCAGAAGTTTGGGCTTGTATTTACGGTGTGAGTGATCCAGCAAATGTCCTTGGTAGTAATTCAGATCTTTTTTCAGAGCAACAGGGATACATTATGCATGCAATCTATTATTAATGCTCTTGAGTCATGTTACGACCAGACATGGACCCTTTGTATCTGAAAAGCCTGATACTGCACGCACTTGGACACAAACAGAGTCAGGCTTTTATATTATGTGATTCTTTATCCTATTCACTAGAATTAATCAGTTTTATCATTATTCATATATAAATATTCCCAGCTGCGGTTATGTGTCTGCAAAGGTTTGCGCCTCTCCCACATCTAAAGGAAAGGAAAAGGCTCAACAAAGGCTGAACAACAAACACTTTTATTTCTTGGCTTTTTGTTTTTATTTTTTTTATCTTGCAGCTCCATCAATGAGCCACTTTTATTGATCATTTAAAGTGATCCAATTAAAACTCTTGGCTGTTTCTTCCCGAGAGTTCATTGGCTGCCAGCTGCTCTCGGTCCTCCAGGGCCCCTCCTCCATCTGTCAGGCACTGCGTTGGTCCCGCACTGAGAGACTGTTGATGCGCTGAAGTAAAAGAGAGAGAGAGAGAGAGAGAGAGAGAGAGAGAGAGAGAGAGAGAGAGAGAGAGAGAGA